AGTTCAGCTTGAGCGGAACTTCAGCATGAATGCAAGCCAAGTTCCAATGTATAGCTTTTCAGTCCGTTCTCACGGTTGCGGCCATTTCTTCTGTAGCTGAGTGTGCGCCGCTCCCACTGACGCGCGTTCCTTCTTGTGCGCTGCCGTCACCTGGGTCACTGCCCACCCACTTTTTGACGGGTGTCAGACTCAGGTGTGCTGCAAATGGAAGACTGCAAGAGACCTCCGATGCGCAGAGTAAAATGCCAGCCTAGCAGCTCGAATCATGATTGCAACCTCTGTGAGCCTTAGGAGTGCCAGGAGTCCAGATGAGCTCGCGAAGCTGATTTCTGCGCTCCGCGTCTGGATCAAGGGGCTGAAGGGCTCACATAGCCTCGCAGCTGTCGCACTTGAGAGCTTCCTGGATCCTGCTCTCCAAGCTTTCTCGACTCACCGCTCGAGGGAGGAGGCCCATGGACTCTCGCAAGAGCGAGTAGCTGCCAGATGTCGTCTCAAGAGGAGCCGTCCTTGGCAGCTTCGGTCCAGTCTCCCTCGGAAGCGAAGGGAGAAGGAGAGTCAATTCCTTGCCAGACAAGAGTGTTGTTGGGCAAACAAGCCTTGAGCGTCCACTGTTTGGAGGGTTCAACTTTCGAGTTGGAGGTCGACTACGCGGTGACGGGCCCACGGGAGGTCATGGAAGACATCGCGGCAAAAGTCGGTCGCCCAGCAGATTCCCTGGTTCTGACATCCGGTGGCGCTGTCCTCGATCAGCGTCATCCCTTGTTGCAGCAAGTTCACAAGGAAGAGATCACTTGTGTCGTGCAGGGACTTGGCGCCGGTCGTGCTGCAGGGAGTTGGGAGCGGCTTCTGGCGAGGGAAGCTCTGTCTGACACGGACGTACACGTTCTTAGCGAAACGGTGTCATTCAGTTTCGATAGCAGCTTCAACCAAAGCTTGGAGGGAATGCAGCTGCCCAACAGCCTGTGCACGCTTGCCTTTGGCGAGAAGTTTAACCAGAACTTCAAGGGCGTCAATCTACCCAGCAACCTGCAGACATTGAGCTTTGGATACCAGTTTAATCAGAGCTTGCGAGGAGCTCGGCTACCGAACAGCTTGCGGACGCTGACCTTTGGCTTGCACTTCAACCAGAGCCTGGAGACAGTGCAGCTACCTGAACGATTGCAAAACCTGACTTTTGGCGACGAGTTTAATCAAAGCTTGAAAGGAACCAAGCTGCCCCACGGTTTGTGCTTTTTAAGCTTCGGCTACAACTTCAACCAGAGCTTGGAAGACACACAGTTACCCAGCAGCCTGCAGACCTTGACCTTTGGCAGCAGGTTCAACCAGAGCTTGGAGGGTGTTCAGCTACCCAGCAGCTTGCAAACATTGGCGTTTGGTAACGACTTCAACCAGAGTTTGGAGGGGACCCAGCTGCCTGACAGCCTTCAGACGCTGACTTTTGGCTGCAACTTCGAGAAAGCGATGGAAAAGGTCCAGCTACCTCCAGGCCTTCGGACTTTGACGTTTGGTCGCAGCTTTGGTCGTAGCTTGGATGGTGTTCAGCTCCCGGCCTTGCAGACGTTGACCTTCGTTGAGTCGTGCTTCAACCAGAGATTGGAGGGGGTGCAGCTCCCCAGCAGCCTTCAATCGTTGACCTTAGGCTTGCACTTCAATCAGAGTTTGGAGAGAGTGCATCTACCCGAACACCTGCAAACGTTGACTTTCGGCTGCGATTTCAACCAGAGCTTAGAGCAGGTCATCCTGCCCAGCGGCCTGCAGACTTTGACGTTTGGCAACAGCTTCAACCGGAGCTTGGAGCGGGTCCAGCTACCGAAAGGCCTGCAGACTTTGAGCTTTTGCGAGTTCTCCCACTTCAATCAGAGTCTTGAGGCGGTCCGTCTTCCCAGCAGCCTCGAAACTCTGACCTTTGGTTACTTTTTCAACCAGAGCCTGAGGTGGGTCCACCTACCCAGCGGCTTACGGACGTTGACCTTCGGCGAGAAGTTCAACCGGAGCCTGGAGGGAGTCCAGCTGCCAAGAGGCCTGCAGACGCTGAGATTCGGGAATCAGTTCAACCAGAGCTTGCAAGGAGTCCGGCTACCCAGCTTGCAGACTCTGATCTGCGGCCGCGACTTCCTGCAGAGCTTGCGCGGGGTCGAGCTACCGAGCAGCCTACAGACGTTGATCTTCGGCGAGTTCTCCTACTTCAACCAAAGCTTGGAGGGGATTCAGCTGCCCAGCAGCCTTCAAAGCTTAACTTTGGGACGGCACTTCAATCAAAGCTTGGAAAAAGTGCAGTTGCCCAAAGACCTGAGAATGTTGACCTTCGACCACAGCTTCAACCAGAGCTTGGAAGATGTCCAATTACCCAACAATCTGCAGCAGTTGACGTTCGGCAACGACTTCAACCAGAGTTTGGACGGCACGCAACTGCCCGACAGCCTACAGTCTTTGACCTTTGGTAACAGCTTCAACCAAAGCTTAGAAGGAGTCCACCTTCCGAGCAGCCTGCAGGTTTTGATCTTTGGCACGGATTTCAACCAGAGCTTGGAAAGTGTCCAGCTACCGACTGGCCTTCAGACTTTGACCTTCGGTATGGCTTTCAGCCAGAGCCTCCAGGGACTTCCGCTACCAAGCAGCCTCCAAAACGTTAGTTGCAGGAATGGTTGCATAGTGACAGCCCAGATGCCGGAAGCAAAAGAAACTGCTTCAAACCTCTTGGTCTTGCGTTCGCTCTGGCGGTCCTCAACACGAGGTGCGTGGTTGATAGAATTTCACAGCCAAAAGCCCGGCTAACTGGAGATTGCCAAGCTGTTGACTGCTAGTAGCTACTTGACATCATCCTTGTTATTGTGCGATTATCATGGCAGTTGCCCTTATTGTTCGAGTTGCTATCAATACCCATACCATGGCTTCCAGCTTCTTGTGCCGGCGCATCATGACTGAGCATGTGGCTGCTCTCATGATGGTTTTGATTGTCGCTGTCGTCGTCGTTCTCGTTGCCATGGTCCTTGTCATCGTCGCTATCGTCGTAGTGCCTGTGGCTACGTGGACTGTTGATGACCATCGTACTACTTTGTGCCACGCTTGTCCTTCTTCTTGTGAACTGCCGTGGTGGTCTCAGCCGGTCTCATTTACAAAGAGTACTGCTCTCCTCGATCAGAACAGACACACTGGTTCTGGTTGTAGCTGTCCGTAGTGTTACTGCTGTCAATCACTGTCAGGAATTCTGTCGGTACTCTTGTCTTGACTTGCTGAGTTTGTGTAAAGTCATTGGGTTCTGCTTGTTGACTTCGTTGTGATGGGTCCTGTGCAAACAACATACGCCCTAGGTATTCATGGCCTACGGCACCTGCAGCCATTGTGGCCCCAGGTCCCCTCCTCCCAGCTGCTGAGCCCGTCTGCAGTGCCAAAGGGCCTGCGCTTTGGAGTCTTTCCGGTATGGCTCTGCTCTGCATTCTGATTGCCTTTTCGTGCCTCCTGGGTGCACTTGTGACAAGGCCCCTGTAAAGGAGCCCTTAATCATAAGAAGCCCGCAAGTGCCTCACCCTGCATCCTGCCACGTGACGTCGGAGCAGTAGCAGGTCGGTCACGTTGTTTGTCCAGGCTGTGAGGCCTCAGAGTCTTGACACTGCAGTCCTGCGTTCAAAGCAACAGACTTGCCCCTTATCAGCCCGATGGTGACAGCGGATGCGGAGATGTTGCGGATGATTTTGCAAAGACAATCAAGGAACTCGGGCTCCTGAATGGTGATGCCCTAACTTGACGGTCACAACCTCAGATCTACAAGAATCCCCGGCGTACTCAGCTTTCATACTAAGCCCAAAGAGCATCCAGGCTTAATCAGGGTTTATAGCTTCAGTCGCTCTGAAGTTGAAGCCCTCGGTGCTGGTGTTGTCCCCGATGGTCTTAGTTCTCTTCTCCGAGCAGCCCCTGCTGAATGTGTCCGGACGCCTAGCGGTTCAGGGTTGAGGGTTTTGGGATGTAAACCCGAAGCCGTAAACCCCAAACCGTGAAGACAGTTTGAATGCGAGGTTGGGCGACAGCCTTATCCGAGACCCCTCAGCAAGATTGCGACGGAGTGGCCGGACGATGCGATGGTCAGGAGCTTCTGGGTGTGATTTCCAATTAAGGAGGCCCCTACATTAGGGAGCTCAGAGCAGCTTGAGCCCCACTCGACGGCTTTCTTTCCCGATAAACATCCTTTTAATAGATGTAGTTGGTCGCTCGGTTGAGGGCACGTCTCTGGCCCATCCTGGACAAAAGGTTTGAGTTTTTGATTGAACTTTGACAGGGATTGTCTAGCAAGGGCGGTTTACTAGTTTTCCAGGCACGAACACCTTGAATCGTCAAGACTTACAGAACTTGGGTGTCAAAGGGAAGCCGGATTTTGAGGCAGCGTGTGAGAAGCCTGCGGATTCTGTGCAGTTTCGCTTTAAGCTCGGATTTCAAGAGGTTCTTGGGTCTTGGATGAGGGCTTGAGTCCCTGAAGTCCAGCCTTCCCCAAAGCTTCCAAGCTGAACCTGGAGGCCCTGAGCCCCAAAGCCTTATCGCCCTGCAGCCTCGAAGAAGCGCACCGCGTGCTAAGCCCCCACACCCAGCAAAGCTCTACTCAAACCCCAAAGAGCCTGTGCTTGAACATCAAAGTCCAAAGCCTGGAGGAGCAGCAGGTGTTGCTGCAAAGAAAGAATCAGGATCGCAGGCTTGCCGGGGGGAGGGGGTGGGGTATACGTGTGGCGTGCATAGCATCCCCGATAATTTTTGAATCATCTTGGGTTCCTGTTTCGGTGGCGTCTTCATTGAACAGATTTGATGTTGCGAGTGTTTTTTTTGGGTCTCTTTTATATGGCTTCCTTCATGCTCGGAGCCACCAGCATAGCAGCAGTACGATGGAGCCCAGTGCGACAGTTACCTTGAATGTTGGGTTTGAGTTGCGAGGAGGCCGCAGCTCCAGGCTCATCGTTCAAGGCGTCAACTCTTGATGCATCTTTCAGAGGGACCTACGCCGAAACAACTAAAAGCATAAGCCACAAAGCCCCAAAACCCCTGAACCCTGATCCCAAACGCTCTAAACTTGTAATCCTAAGGCCTGGACTGTAGTCTCTTATCATCGACGCTTTAGAATCCCTAGGGACCCAACGAGAAAAGGTAGGTGTTGGTCGTTGAAGGTAAGCCCTAAACTGGGAGGCTCGATGCCAGTTCCATCACAGCAAGGACCGCTTTGTTGGTTCAGGGTCCTGTGCAGGGTTACCCTGGAGCTTGTGGCACATATCGAGTTGAGGGTTTAGCGGGGATCTCTCTTTTGAATATCTTGCTTTGACAGCAGGGAAATCTCACAAAAGGCTGCCATCGAAAAGTGCAACGGCTCAATTTTTGAAGTGTTTTCCTGAACCTGAAGCTCCGTGCCTACACCTAAACGATATAAACCCCAAACCCCTAACCCCTAAACCATATTAGCCAACGTAGCTGGCACCGATCCTTTCAGAAATCAGCAGACTTTCCAAGCAAGCAGGTTTGTAAGTGTGGCAGCCTGAACGATTCAATATGTCTTTAAAGGCCATCCCGGCAGTGTAAACAAAAGCCACAAGTATTTTCAGTTTACCCATGGCCCTCTCCCTTGAACTGGGAAGGCTGTAGGCAGGGTTCACGGGATTAGGATTAACCTCCGCGACAACAACAGAAGTCGGTCTCTTCGGCTGAAGATGTCCCCAATCGTCAACCACACGCGACAGGGCTGCTCTCTTAAAGAAGCGTTAAACTTCACCCCCACCCTAAGCCCTAACACTTAGCGGCTTGAGCAAACCCCAGCTTGTTCCCGTGGCGAAAGTCGGAACTTATCCCGTTGGTGCTTCAAACTGCCGCTTGCTTCCGCTGGGTCTTTGGGCAACCTGCGGCAAGGGTTCTTATACCAAAATCCCACGATTGATAATGTTAGGATCCCCGACTTTATGCAACCCCCAACTGTGCGAGATCCGAAACCCAAAGCCCAGGTCCACCCCGACGAATCCTCTCAACATGTGGACCGCCGTCTTGCAGTCTTGCACCCTCAGCCAAAGCCTAGACCCAAAGCCGGAAAGCGAAGATCCAAAGCATGAAGCCTACACCCTAGGCCCCTCAACCTCAAACCCCGAAGCTCGAACACCTAAACCACCCAAGCAACTTTACCCACGTCGAAGCCGCAGGGAAGGCACCTGCTCAAGTGTCGCATGGGATCCTTGTCCTAGTTCGAAAGGGTCGTTAGAGCTTCGAAGCTAGGCTTTGCGGCTTGGGGTCTTCAGGCTTAAGGGTTCAGGGGTCTGGGGGGCCTCCTCGCTTTGGTGGCTTCTGGAGTCTGCTAGGCTTGACGGATTCCTGTCAAGCCTGTCAGGGCTCCAGAAGTGTTGGATACTGTGGTTCTCAATCGGGTTACCGTAATGGGGTTCCTTCCCTTTAAGTAGGATTCTATGGTAGGGTTCCTGTTAAGGGCGGTATAAGGGTTGTACATGGTTCCGGGTTTGCCGGAAAGGGTCTCGGTCAGTGGGTGAGAGGCCGGTTGTTTTGGCTCTCGTGCCCGGGAGAGTTTTTTTGGTTTGGGATCTGTAGTCTAGATTTTAGAGTCTAGTTGTGATCTCCTGTGCAGCGCAAGCGTCCAAAAGCACCACCACAAAGCCCTCAAACCAAGCTCCCAATCCACCTCAAGAGAGGGGGGGAGAGAGGTTTACTCGCGATGAGTGCAGTGCTCCGCGCGGTGCTTCCCTCGTCAGCACGCAATCTTAATCTTGACAGCGCAGGGTGCCCACGGAAGGAGGCGGCAGAAACCTCCAGTTTTCCTGCGATACTCTTCTCACTGCTTTACCTGCATAAGGCATCAAGTCGACCTTAACATCATGGCTTTAGCCTCAGCAGTTAGACCTCGTTTTTTTTTGGGTTCACGCCTCTCTAAAACCGATGGTGCACCTCTGGCGCGCGAGGTTCGGGATGTGTTTTATGCCCGCGAGAGCGCGAGAGAGACGGAGAGCGGGAGAGAGAGAGAGAGAGCGAGAGAGAGGAGAGAGAGAGAGAGAGAGAGAGAGAGAGAAGGGTAGCAGGAATCCTATGGCATGCTGGTGTTTTCATAGGAGGGGCCCCAATCTCTTTCCAGTGGCAGGCCACGTGCAGCCAAGCCCATCCGACCGAAAATGTTCGCTGGGGCAGCGCGTGGTAGACAGAGAAGAAGCTCCTACCCCACCGATTCGGTTCTGGGGCGTAGTAGGGGACGAGTAAGGCTTGGGGTTCGGTGTTCACCCCGAGGATTGCACGACCGCCGGGCAGGATCGCGAGAATGCCATGCGGCGTGGCCGGAGACCACTTGAAAGAGCCCTCAAGCCTTCAAAAGGCCCTAAACCCCAACGCGCTTTGAACTTCGGTCTCTGGTTTCTTGTCTGTGGTTCTTCCTTTCAGGCAGCTTCGAGTCTTACTTAAGAGGGCGTTCCTGGGTTGCAGAGAGCTCCCAAACGCAACAGGGTTACGGGGTTACGGGGTTGGGGTCAGGGTCTTATGTCTTATGCTTTTTCAAGTCGAAAGACTTGAGCGTGCCAACCCTCGAAGGTCCCCTTCTGATCTCCCTGTCTGCTTTGAATATCTCGCTCTCTCTCTCTCTCTCTCTCTCGCTCCCTCTCTCTCTCTGTCCCCCTCTCTCTTTCTCGTTTGCTCCAAAGGACCACGAAGCTCGAACC